AAGAGTCCATAGAGATCCTGTTGGTTCTGTTCGCGTTCCTGTTGCTGTATCCGCATGACGTGCATCTGAACAGAGGAAACCATGAGGACCACATTGTTAATCTGAGGTGGAGATGTTATGGATCAAATTGAATCAATCACCTACATTTGCATTTGTGAGGAACAATTTCAGATAGAAATGGATCTGACAGAACTGAATTTACATTTTAAAATGGAAAATCTTTTTTCATGCAGGTATGGCTTCACTAAGGAAGTTCTGAGGAAATATCAGGTGAGCTAGCCATCCACCATGCGTCTCTAAGGCAGGGCATCCAATCCTGCTCCTGGAGGACCAACGTCCAGCAGAGTTTAGCTCCAACTGGCCCCAAACTTCATTATCTGGTTTGGATGCGTTTAATTAGGATTAGAGCTAACCTCTGCAGCCCTCCAGCAGGATTGAACACCCCTACTCTTAAGAGGATTTACACCTTACACTCGTCTGTCCATTCACACATTCACAGAAGGTTTGTCTGCATTAGCAAATAAGAACGGTCATGAAATCCCTTTATGGTAGTTAATTCAACTCGGACTGCTTACCATACATACTCCATTCAAACATTGTTTAGTAGATTATTTCCGTGTTACATGCACTCTCTTTGGTTATTGTAAACTTTTGGACTCCAGACTGACTGCCTGTTTACATAACACTGTTTTCAACTAAAAACTGAAAACTTTTTGTGTTTTGGCTGTTCATTTACAAGACAACAATGTACTGGGGGTGTGTAAAAAAATTAATGCCTATGTGTTACATTCCTGTAGTGTTTCTTTAGAAAGTGGCATCGCCAACTACTGGCCTGGCCTGGTGTTTGCGGATCCGTGTGAAAGGGGATGGTTTTGACACAAAACTTTTCCTTATTTAGCACATTGTTGTCATGTTTCATTCAGAACCATTGACATAGCGATACAAATGGGGTTAGGAGTTTATATGAATGTATCTCTGAGGGGAACTGACTGTCTTTAGTAAAGTTTAGATGGTACTTTCTTTTCATCTTGTTGAAAGGTTGAGTGAATTGTTACGTCTCTAAAGGCTGCATAAAGTCACAGAGTAGGTCACCGAGTGCTGAGGAGTAGGTGCTTAAAAGTCGCCAATGCCAGCTGTCTCATCGCAGTTTGACCAAACAATTAGGAAACCTTAGAAAAAACTACTGTGGCAATACCATGGTAAAGTGATGTATCAGAAATATCACGGTACTTTAATATATACAGTGGTACTGAGTGATTACCATAATTTACTTCAAAGAATACTACAGCTTTACCATGGAATAAAATCAACTACACCATGGAAATACCATGGCACTTTTTTGCTGGTGTGTGTAGGTAGTCTACTGTGCTCTAAGGACCAGACAGCATGTGTTGTTGTTGTTTAGAATTATTTAATATGTGATGTAATCGTATTTGGCTTGTGTTGTCATTTGCCGTAATCGAATTGCTCTGACATTCCTAAGGCATTCAAAATGTGCAGCGTTGAGGGACCTTTAAGACCAAAGCTGCTGATCGCTGATGCCGACAGTGAATAATGTTGTGCTTAAGCAGCACACATTTCCCTCCATGCTTCTTTAGATTCATGTCCAAAAAGACAGCACTTTTCTCAGTCAGAATATGTAGCGTGTAAATATGACCTGAGGTGTTGTCCTTGAGTATTAAGACATCATGTGCACTCAAGAGTTCAAGTGAGGTTTGTCTCACACACACTCTGCAGATAGTGGACGTTCTGTGGAGTGACCCGATGTCTCAGAACGGTTGTGTCCCTAACGAGGTTCGAGGAGGCGGGTGTTACTGGGGGCCGGACGTCACACACAAAGTGCTGGACACACACAAACTGCAGCTGCTCATCAGATCTCATGAGTGCAAGCAGGAAGGTTATGAATTCTGCCACAACGGCAGGGTGAGCCATCCCTCCATTTACACTCATCCATCCATGTAGAGTTTGACGGTGTGATCTGAAGGGTTGATTACTTTGCATTTGCAGGTTTTGACGATATTTTCAGCCTCTAATTACTATGACGTTGGCAGTAACAGAGGTGCTTACATTCGTTTGGGTCCCGACCTCATTCCTCACTTCAAACAGTTTCAGTCCAGCAGATCGACACGAGAGCTCACACTCAGACAGAGGTGAACACACACACACACACACACACACTCTCTCTCTCTCTCTCTGTCTCACACACACACACACACGCACACACACACACACTCTCTTTCTCTCTCACATACTCACTCACACACACACACACTCACATACACACACACACACACTCTTTCTCTCTCACATACTCACTCACACACACACACACTCACATACACACACACACACACTCTTTCTCTCTCACATACTCACTCACACACACACACACTCACATACACACACACACACACTCTTTCTCTCTCACATACTCACTCACACACACACACACTCACATACACACACACACACACTCTTTCTCTCTCACATACTCACTCACACACACACACACTCACATACACACACACACACACTCTTTCTCTCTCACATACTCACTCACACACACACACACTCACATACACACACACACACACTCTTTCTCTCTCACATACTCACTCACACACACACACACTCACATACACACACACACACACTCTTTCTCTCTCACATACTCACTCACACACACACACACTCACATACACACACACACACACTCTTTCTCTCTCACATACTCACTCACACACACACACACTCACATACACACACACACACACTCTTTCTCTCTCACATACTCACTCACACACACACACACTCACATACACACACACACACACTCTTTCTCTCTCACATACTCACTCACACACACACACACTCACATACACACACACACACACTCTTTCTCTCTCACATACTCACTCACACACACACACACTCACATACACACACACACACACTCTTTCTCTCTCACATACTCACTCACACACACACACACTCACATACACACACACACACACTCTTTCTCTCTCACATACTCACTCACACACACACACACTCACATACACACACACACACACTCTTTCTCTCTCACATACTCACTCACACACACACACACTCACATACACACACACACACACTCTTTCTCTCTCACATACTCACTCACACACACACACACTCACATACACACACACACACACTCTTTCTCTCTCACATACTCACTCACACACACACACACTCACATACACACACACACACACTCTTTCTCTCTCACATACTCACTCACACACACACACACTCACATACACACACACACACACTCTTTCTCTCTCACATACTCACTCACACACACACACACTCACATACACACACACACACACTCTTTCTCTCTCACATACTCACTCACACACACACACACTCACATACACACACACACACACTCTTTCTCTCTCACATACTCACTCACACACACACACACACACTGTCCATAGAAGTGAAATTGAAAACTTGTTTTGAGGAGTCCTTCACACAAAAACAACAGCAACATAAATGTGTGTGATAGCTGAACTCCACTCGAAACACCAATCATGTGTGGCTCAGTCTAAAATTAGATTTTTGTTTCTGATTATATCAGATTTTGTTGGAAATGTGTGTAAAACAGGATTGTGTGTGTGTGTGTGTGTGTGTGTGTGTGTGTAGTGTGGGACGAACAGAACTTTCTGCATTGCAGGCTCTGAGGATGCAGCTGTTTGCACACAAATCTGACCTGATCCATGAGTTTCAGGAATACGGCCCACAGCGCACAGGTACCAAACATACATTACACACATGCACACTGGCACTCTCTTTCTCGCTCACATACTCACACACACACACTCTTTCTCTCTCACATACTCACACACACACACTCTTTCTCTCTCACATACTCACACACACACACTCTTTCTCTCTCACATACTCACACACACACACTCTTTCTCTCTCACATACTCACACACACACACTCTTTCTCTCTCACATACTCACACACACACACTCTTTCTCTCTCACATACTCACACACACACACTCTTTCTCTCTCACATACTCACACACACACACTCTTTCTCTCTCACATACTCACACACACACACTCTTTCTCTCTCACATACTCACACACACACACTCTTTCTCTCTCACATACTCACACACACACACTCTTTCTCTCTCACATACTCACACACACACACTCTTTCTCTCTCACATACTCACACACACACACTCTTTCTCTCTCACATACTCACACACACACACTCTTTCTCTCTCACATACTCACACACACACACTCTTTCTCTCTCACATACTCACACACACACACTCTTTCTCTCTCACATACTCACACACACACACTCTTTCTCTCTCACATACTCACACACACACACTCTTTCTCTCTCACATACTCACACACACACACTCTTTCTCTCTCACATACTCACACACACACACTCTTTCTCTCTCACATACTCACACACACACACTCTTTCTCTCTCACATACTCACACACACACACTCTTTCTCTCTCACATACTCACACACACACACTCTTTCTCTCTCACATACTCACACACACACACTCTTTCTCTCTCACATACTCACACACACACACTCTTTCTCTCTCACATACTCACACACACACACTCTTTCTCTCTCACATACTCACACACACACACTCTTTCTCTCTCACATACTCACACACACACACTCTTTCTCTCTCACATACTCACACACACACACTCTTTCTCTCTCACATACTCACACACACACACTCTTTCTCTCTCACATACTCACACACACACACACGCACACACACACACTCTCACTCTATCTCTCTCTCACACACACAAACACCTTTTTCTTCACACCTTAGAAGAGCATTTCCCAGCCTTGTTCTCCCTAATCAAACTCACCTGAATAAACTGACCAGGCCTGCGCTTCTGAAAAGCATCGTGAGCGAAGTTTATCAGAGAGACCATCAGTGGCAATAGTTCTACAATCTACTGAAGCTTACAAAGCTTTTGAGAAACGCAGCCCAGGTCATTAGCAGAAGCTCCAAGACCTGAAACAGGTTACAGTTAGAGTTATTCACATAAAAGAGAAGTTTAAATGAGCATCTGTTGGCATTACCAAAGTATCTGTGAATAATTCTCAGCGCGGTCCCAGGTGTGATCTCTGTGACGCACTGGGCTGCAGCTGTGGAGAAGGCTCTGCGTCTGGCTCTGCCCTGGAGGGTCCTGAGGTCTCAGCTGGTGACCGACAGCGCTCAGGACGGGACGCTCAACTATCAGCACTGGGTCAACCAGCTCTCCATCATCCAGCCCAACACCGAGGTGAGCTCAGAGAAAACCAGCCCGCTAGAGACGAACGTAGACCACACTCATGACACTGATGGTTCATACGCTTTCAGGATTTTTATCAGGCAAGCAAGACAATATTTTCCAGAAGGTTCAGTGCACACGTCGAGCTGAATTTAAGAAGTAAAATTCAAACGAAACACAAAGGATGGGGCATCATTTTATATTGACATTATCAATTGTCAAAATGACAAAGATCAGTATATATTCATACTAATTAATACTAGCCTGTTGGAATTTGTAATTTATTAATCAATGGTTGATATTTGAACCTATGAGCATAACTCATATTTAAACAACTATGGCTTTGTGTTGTTGGCCAGATAAAATGACAGAGAAAAGAAAAATTCATACAAGATCATTTTTCAGTGCACCAAAACACCAAGTACAAAAAGTCCCCATTTTAAAGCATTTTGGCCTTAAATAAGGCAAAACATGTGTGTGCCCTTCAAAAATTGCTCGAGAAATGTTATGTTTACTGTCACCCCAACTGTTTTTACGCCCGTGCATATAACTACAAAAGCCGATCATCAATGACCCAAAAGGTCTGTGTATCTGATTCTGGCAGATTGCGAACACGAGCCTCCTGGAGACCCTCTACAAACATCATTCAAACCTGGAGAGCATCTTCAGAATGATTGACACGGACCACTCAGGTGATCAGATCAGCCGTATGAGCTGCTTAATAACCTGTGATGGGTGTTAGAAACGAAACCTAGCTAAACTTCAGTCTTCAGATCAAACCATAAACGCGCAGTTAGATGCATTCTCAGACGAGTTTGATGTGTTCAGGTCTGATCTCGTTCGAGGAGTTTCGTCAGACGTGGAAGCTGCTGAGCTCCCACCTGCAGATGGACATCAGTGATAAAGCCATCTCAGATCTGGCCGAGAGCATCGACTTCAACAAGGACGGCAGCATCGACATCAACGAGTTCATGGAGGCCTTTCGCCTGGTGGAGCATTCTAGAGCCGAGACGGACGCGCCAGCGTCGCCCGAGTGAGGACAACACAAACACACTGCTTTCTGTGTCGCTCGTCCAAACCTCAAGAGCAGCTGCTGTACGCATCTATACACATCTGAGTGCTTCCTTGGGTTTTAGTAAAGATGATGGTATTTTCAGTGCTTTCACTTTCACAAACACTCATTAAATTGAACACATGAAATTCATACAGTGAAGCTTTATTAATCAATCACAGACACAGTAAAACATTGCAGCTAATCGAAGGCACACAATCACACACGTAAGTAAAAATAAGTGTGTAAATGAGTGAGTGTAAATGAGCGCGTAGGCTGCGTCAGCTGAGTTTGCTGCTGCGTCCGTGAACGCTGTCGTGAAGCCCGTCTTCAATCGTCTTGATGTCGTCCAGGTCGTCTTTAATGACGCTGATCAGGTGACTCAAACCCTCCTGCTGGTGCTTCAGATGCTGAAAACAAAACACGAGGACAAACCATAACGCACGGACTGGAACGGAGCAGTTTTGTTCTGTATGGTTTTAAATCAAGCGAGTCATAAGCACAGAGCTGATGTATGAGTGGGTCAATCAGTCGTAACACTCGATATGACGCTGTAGGAATTTAACATACATGTGCATCAGCTGCCTGAAAATACGGGTTCTTGGATGATTTGAGCTTAAGAAGTACAGTTTATCATACTACTGCTGTCTGATTTTATTCCTGATTTGACATTAACAGATTATTTCGAGTAGATGGAGCTGAATCTGGATGACTAGAGCTTTGACGTGAACAATTCATGCTTAAACTGACATTTATGCATTTGGCAGACGCTGTGATCCAAAGCGACTTACACTGCACTCAAGCTACTGAATCTATATTTTTATAATAGTTCATGCATTCCCTGGGAATCAAACCCATGACCTTGGTGTTGCTAGCGAGATCTACTGTTTAGGCTTAACCTCTATTAAATGTTCAGTCAATCATATTATTGGGTGTTGTCTGATCATGGATTACAAACAGACGGACTCGACTCTTCATGACACAGACACATAACGGGACTGAGATACAGATTCAAAGCCTAGAAGAAAACTGTTCTTTACCTGGGTAGTTACTATGACACGTCTAGCTTGTTTACATGTGCACCAGAGACACGGTTATCGTGAGAAATCCATGCTCACGTTTACATGCTCCGTGTTGACGGTTACTATTACAGTTTCTCCAGTTCAGGAGTCTCCTGATTCCTTCAAGGGTAGACTGTCACTCACTTCTGGAGACACTTCTGAACACAAACTACAGCAAACACACACACACACACACACACACACACACACACACACACACACACACACACACACACAAACACACACACACATTAAACACACACACACATTAAACACACACACACATTAAACACACACATTACACACACACATTCACAGATGGTGGGTGTTTCAGCTGATGATCACACCTTAAACTGTGTCGGTGCGTTGAGGTCTGATTGGATGGTTTCCAGCTGAACTCTCAGGTGTTCCTCGTCCAGTTCACTGATGTCGTTAGAGATGATCTGAAACACAGAGACAGAGCCGGTAACATGACAGCGTCAGAGAGAGCAGCGGATCTGAGCGTCTAACTCACATCCACTCTGGTCTGGTGCTGTTTGGTCATCTGATCCTGGATCTTCAGTCTGCGCAGCAGCTCTTTGAAGCCCACCATGGGGACCGGAATCAACCTGATCAGAAAATCACAGCTGGTGAGCTCAGATCACACGAGCATCTGACGAGCGATTAATGAAGACGCACTTCTCTGGGTCTGGATTGTCCACTTTGGCCTGTTCCCAGATGATGGGATCCACACCTGCACACAAACACACGTCAGCAGCGCTCCTCAGCGATATCGTGCGAGCGAGTGAACACACACGTACCTGCGGGCGGGTTCTGCAGCAGCTGCTTGAGCTGCGCCGGGGTCAGTGCGGTGCGACTGACCGCCATGATCACACCCAGCTGTTGCAGCGCAGACTTCACGTTCAACTGCTCCATGTAGCTGTAGAGCGTGGACGCCGGGACTCGCTTCGACGTGCCGTTAGGAGAGCGCTCCACCAGATAAATGATCATCTCCGCCCTGCACAAACACAAGTGGATTTCAAGCAGAGTTCTAAGCCTAACTCTGCGGCACAGATCTGAAGAGTTCAGCCGTTATGATGCAGACAGCAGCTGCTCTCAGGCACTTTCAGTGAGATTCGGCCTGTTCCTCATGATCTGTGGGCCGCATTCATTTCAGGCTCACAGTCTGTAGATTCAGTTTCACGATGATCAAGTTTGTAATAGTTCTCCATTGCTGTGTCTCATTCTGAAGGCTGTGCTCTCCGGAGGTCATGTTTGCCGGCCACATACATCATCGAAGCTTCTCGTTTCAGAAAAGTAATAATGACTGACGAATGCGACCGCTGGAGGCACAGCCTTTGAAAACAGACACGGCAAATGAGCCTCTCGCAAACCCTTTTCTTTCATAGTTTATGACCAATAATAAAGACAACATTTGGGAAAGTTTCCCAGGACCGGTGTGAATGAGCCGCTCAAGCAGTATGAATCAGACATTGGTGGGTTTTTTAATACGTGTCCCTCCGTTTGAGAACCATTGCTATTCAGCACAACCTTAAATTGGCAAATGAGAAAATCACTGTATCTAAAATCAAAGAGTTTGGGCAGAGATGAGTCTCACTGATCGTCGGGCAGCGCTCGCACTCCCTCCACGTTGACCGAAAGAGTCGGATTTCCTCCCAGAACCTTGTGCATCGATTCAACCAGCTGCTGCTGCTGAGAGCGAACCTCAACTTCCTTCTTATTGAGAGCAAGAGCCACTAAACCATCCTCATCCTTCACATCAGGAACACAGCTGTAGCCCACCGCCTGAGAGAGAGAGAGAGAGAGAGAGAGAGAGAGAGAGAGAGAGAGAGAGAGAGAGAGAGAGAGAGAGAGAGAGAGAGAGAGAGAGAGAGAGAGAGAGAGAGAGAGAGAGAGAGAGAGAGAGAGAGAGAGAGAGAGAGAGAGAGAGAGAGAGAGAGAGAGAGAGAGAGAGAGAGAGAGAGAGAGAGAGAGAGAGAGAGAGAGAGAGAGAGAGAGAGAGAGAGAGAGAGAGAGAGAGAGAGAGAGAGAGAGAGAGAGAGAGAGAGAGAGAGAGAGAGAGAGAGAGAGAGAGAGAGAAATAGAGAAATAATGCAGAGACCCGCCTTCTTTACAGTGAAACACTAAAACAATACAAGCATACACTCAGAACCAAAAAAGCACAATACACCCAAAAACAACTGACAATAATTGAGAAGTCAGTGAACACAAAC